AAGCTTAGCCTACATCCTTCCCTGATAACTCATTCGATAAGTAAACAATAAATTATCATGATCTGCTAGTTTTCTTCCTTCTCAGTGTTAATTATTTTAGAGGACCCTTTATTTGTTTTGTTGAATTGTAGTTGTGAGATAGATTTATTGTTACTTTAGAATATTTTTAAATATTTAAAAAATTCACACAATACAATGCAGTAAGTTACCTTCAAATATGAATTAAATTCCATGAAGTACATATAGTTTGTAAGCCTGTAATTCCATAAGAGCACTAAAAGCCCCTCTCTCAGTTGTATATTGTCTTCAGGGCTTTTGTGTTTTACGACCTACATGTCTGTGTGCTGACTTGGTCAGCATTGATAAATGAGCTGGAAAGACACCAATCTCAAATGAGCAATAAAAGGAGTCACACACACAAAGCCCCCCTGAGTTTATATCCTTGACCTGGTGTGTTTATGACAGCCTGTCTTCCTGTGAAGGTGGACTCACATACCTAACCAGTCAGTGACAAATGTAAGACAAAGGAGATATAAATGTGGTGAGGGAAAATTCCTGGACTCTTTCAGTTCAACGAGGAAATGAAGATGCTTGTTCAGTAATCAGCCCAGGGATGTGTTTTATTTGTGTGGTTACTTCACAATTTTTTCCTTTTTTTATCAGCTGTTTCTTAAGGACGAAAGTGGTTTAAGAGAGGAAGTTTTTTTTACCCTTTTAAGGATCTCAACAGGAAATCTCAGGTAACATTTGAATGTTTGTATTGTTGAACCACTGTTGCTATGCTGTGGTGATTCATGTCTTGGTAAATACGCACACACTTGAGTGTGGCGCACTTGAAATCCTGCCAGTGTTACTGTACTGCAACATGGAGGTCTGATAAATATTGCTTTGATGTCACTTTCTACCCATATGCCAACAGAAATGTGATTCCTCAAATCTTTCATTTGATGAAAGTGTCTTGGAACCAGGGCGTTTAGGTCTTTAGAGCTTATTTTTCTAATTCATGCTAAGCTTTCAGTGCTGACATATTTCAAGAGACATGACATGTGGGTTTAAGTGTTTTTCACTTGAATGGTCAGGATCTGGGTCGTACCTATGCAGGTGCATAGTCAACTGTGGGAATGTTTTCTTCTGGTTCTCTTCATGTTCAGACAAATTGCTAGACTTAGGATCATATACACGAAAAGGTTGTTGAGGAGCATTAAATCATGCCATTCGTTAAACAAAAAGCTACTAAATGATTTCTGAGATGGTCGTCTGAAGATTAGCCTTTCAGATTTGATTTCATCTTGACATGAAGTGTACTTTTGGCCTCTTTTTTTCCTCCCCAGAGCACATTTCTTCACATTCCTCTTTTTCTCAACTGTAACCTCAAAGAAGCAAAAATAGAGCACTGTATAATATGATGAAATGGATCCACTGGCCCTCAGGCCATCAGAAAAGGCCTCCGGCTTTTGAGAAGGGCGGGACCATCACCTATAGTCACGTCATGTGTTCAGTTTTTCTGTGTCAAAAGACGATCTGCCGGTTTCAAAACAAAGTAGTAAATCTATCAACAATGTCTTCCAGTAAAATTGCTGACAGAGCAATATACTATTCCTGGACATATCTTGTTTTAGTATTAATGTTAGTGAAGATCATGCAATAATTGAAGCTCCTTTGATTATGAACTCAGTCTGACTTTAACCTGACCTAACTAACAAAGGATAAAATATAAATTAATCATATGACTGTAAGCGAGTCTTAAAGGGATACTCCACTTTTTTTGGAAATAGGCTCATTTTACAACTCCCCCAGAGTTAAACTGTTGAGTTTTTACCGTTTTTGAATACATTCAGCCGATCTCCGGTTCTGGCGGTACCACTTTTAGCATAGCTTAGCATACATCATTGGAGTGGACAAGACCATTAGCATTTCTAAAAAAAAAAGACCAAAGAGTTTTGATATTTTTCCTATTTAAAACTTGACTCTTCTGTAGTTACATCGTGCACTAAGACCGACGGAAAATGTAAAGTTGCGATTTTCTAGGCTGATATGGATAGGAACTATACTCTCATTCCTGCGTAATAATCAAGAAACTTCACTGCCGTACCATGAGTGCAGCAGGCGTAATGATATGACGCAGCGCCTGAAAATAGGCCACCTTCCGTCAACACAACGGAACTATTTTCAGGCGCTGCGTCATATCATTACGCCTGCTGCTCTCATGGTACGGCAGTGAAGTTTCTTGATTATTACGCAGGAATGAGAGTATAGTTCCTAGCCATATCAGCCTAGAAAATCGCAACTTTACATTTTCCGTCGGTCTTAGTGCACGATGTAACTACAGAAGAGTCAAGTTTTAAATAGGAAAAATATCAAAACTCTTTGGTCATTTTTTTTTGTAGAAATGCTAATGGTCTTGTCCACTTCAATGATGTATGCTAAGCTATGCTAAAAGTGGTACCGCCAGAACCGGAGATCGGCTGAATGGATTCAAAAACGGTAAAACTCAACAGTTTAACTCTGGGGGAGTTGTAAAATGAGCCTATTTTCAAAAAAAGTGGAGTATCCCTTTAAGAATTATGGAGTCTGTTTCTCTGAAAAGCCTTGAGCCTCGGAAAATGATTTATTTATCATCAAAAGCCACTGGTAGTTTTACTATTATCGGGCCTGTTTACACGTGGTAGCCTATAATCCGATCACAAGTGGACGACGCTAAATACATGTGTAAACGGGGTCTAAAATGTTTTGACCTTGTCCACTTTCGACCACTTCCAGAGGTAGTCGAAACCGCATTGACCTGATTGCTTTCATAGTGTAGAGGCTCATCTGGTCGAATGTGTTTGAACAGCCACAAAAGAACGCCTACTCTCCGCCTACTGACCTAACGCATGAACATTATGGGAAGCGCGCTAGCCAGACTTGTAGTTCGGTTCTCTTGGTTCTTTTGGCCCTGACCAAAAAAGATAATGATATATTTATTCCTAGTTTGTTTAGCGTTCACACTGTCTATTTTTTTACAACGAACGTAAAGATACAAAAAAAATATATAATTTTGGGGGATTTTTTATGGGTTTTTTTTGTAAATGATTTTTTAATGAGAATGCGTCATGAAAATGTGTCTTCCTCGTCTATTTGTGATCCGATCGACCAAAACACATCTTAATACCAGGTGTAAACGGGGCTTTGTCTCTTTCAGTAGGCTATATTAAGATAATATACATCTCCATTCAAAGCAAATTATTTACTTTTATAAATATTATGACACATTTTCTGGCTCATGAATAGTGAATTGACTAGTTCTAAGACTAACTGAATAAAGTTACAATTTGTCCCTGATTCGTTGCTTTCAAATCCTGTTGAGTCTCTTTGTTTCAAAATCATCACTGTGGAAGATCGTTTCCCTGGAGGCGAGACAGTGGGCAGTTTCCGTTCTCCACCTAAATGTGTTTTAAAGAGCTTTTCATTTTTTTACACGCATGATAGAAAGAATGCCATGACAAAAAGCGCAAAACCTTCACTGAAGGACATAAAAACTTTTCATTTCCAAAAGGCAGTTGTGAAATATTAAGGAATGTGTTTGAGACTATCGCAAGTGTTTTATTTGGATATTCAAAGGATGATCCACCATTAATTTGAGGAATTTTTAAAAGCTTTGGTTAGTCTGGGAACATTCCTGTAATTCTAACCCTGTCAGCACATCAGGCTTAAATAAAGCTCAAAGGATGCACTAAAACTCACTGTGGTGTGATATTTACACAAGACTTGAAGATTTCACAGCTGTATATTTACTGTGACAGCCGTGAGGGACAGCTAGAACTCAAGATATCAAATGAGCAATACTGTATCATATTTCATTGATATTGCACGTGCAGCTATTTTATGGGGGCTGGCAGACAGCCATAATATATTTTACAAAGAAAAGTGTATCTGAATTTACTGGTCATATTTTCTTTTTATTCAGCATTTTGCACGAGAGAATCAGTGGTGACATATGAAGCCTCCTATATCTTGAGTTACTGTGGTATAGATGTGATTTGTTCACTCTCAGCTGTCTTTTCCTCATTTCTCTGACAGCTTTAATGCAGCTCTTCATAGAGCTTTTGGTGCTGCTATCAGTTATATAGCTCTGATTGTAGATTCACTTATGTTGCAAACATAATTAGATTGGGATGTATTACATATTTTTGCAACTTAACTGTATATAATTCAATCAAAATATGTTTACAGTAGGTAAATCCCCCTTGAGGTTTAAAAAAGAGACCGATATAATTGGTGATCACTGCTCATTTCCACGTATTAGCAGTCCTGGATTAAATGCAATCATTTATCCTCCCCACCTAACCCTGTGCATGACAGAAGGTTTAAACATGGTGATGCTTGTATAGGTTCCGAAATAAACAGCTTTATTCATGATATGATAAATGACTGCCTGTCTAAGTAGGCGGCGTATAATACAAGTAGAAAAGTTTGGGACACATTCAATTAATCAAAAGTGACATTAAAAACATTTATAAATGTTACAAAAGATGTCTCTTTTAAATAAAAGCTGTTCTTTTTTGAAAAAAGCATCACAGTTTTCACAAAAATATAAAGCAGCACAACCATTATAAACATTGATAATAATAATAAATGTTTCTTGAGCACCAAATCAGCATGCTAGAATGATTTCTGAAGAATCATGTTTTCTGAAAATTCCGCTTTGCCATCACAGGAATAAATTACTTTTTAAAATATATTAAAATAAAAAAGGTAATTTAATATTTAACAGAATATTACTGTTTTACTGTATTTTTCATCAAATAAATGCATAAGAACCCCCCCCCCTCCAAGACCATAAAGCTCCTAATATCTTTAGTGATATTAATATTGATCTCTGCAGCTTAAGCAAAAATCAATGCACTCATTCACTCATGAAGTGTATTGAGGAAAGTACAGTTAATCTAACTGTGTTTTTTTGTTGAGGCTCTTGGTCTTCCAGAGGTTATGAGGATCGGGTGTGTGCTAAGTGCGTTTGTGTGAATGCTAATTACATGGGCTAGACTGGCTTGACACTACACTGTTGACTTCACACAATGGCTACAGGTCCCGCCCCCACAATGCACCTGCTGTCCAATCAGAAGCGGGGGTTGTCAGGAGGTTGGGGTCGGTGGTCTCTTTTCTGTTGTTGTGTGTGAGAGAGCTGAAATGGAAAATGACTTCTAAGCTTTCTCTTTCCTTTTCCTTTTGAAAGTCTCAGTCAAGACAGCAGTCTCCGCACATTGACTCGGGGAATCTGTCTGCCTGCCATGTAACGTTGTGTATAAGCTTTCCACTTTACAGACAAAAGGTAAGCCTTTGTTTCTTCATGTTTTGTGTGACTTAAGTGTATTTTGCTTGCATTATATTTGTATTGGATACGTATTTTTAAAAGTCCTGGCTTTTTTTTTTCTTTTCTTTTTTTTTGCAAATTTGGTCTAATTAACAAGTGAGTTTTTAGTTAGCATCAGTCACTGTAAATTATAAATATTAATCAGAAGTTAGTCTCTCACAAATGTTTTTTAGAAGAAGTTACTATGTTAAAAGTTGTGATTATTCAGGGATCTTCACAGATCACTGAAGCAATCATCAGGCCTCTGAGGTTCTGCACTCTAGAGCTCATTTACATCACGTTCACTTCAAGACATTTACTTTCAAGGAATGAGTTTAAATATCAAAGTAGACAACAGTTTTGATCTAAAACACCAGCAATCTTTGCCTATAAAATGAGTGTGTGTTTGTGTGGGTTTATATTCGGCATAAATATGCCAACATAAAGATGCATGCAAATGGCCATTTTACGCTCTTCACTCTTAATGAACTGCTTTTAAGTCCCTACATGTCCGCTGGTTGGTCTATGACCTAAGAGCACGTACGTCGGGAGCTGAAAGGCTTCAGACCGCAGGTCCCTTTCTGTGTTTTAACCTCTGGGTCAGTATAGCTGATTGCTGTTGTGCTGTCAGTCATTCTATATGTGTGATCTCTCTTTACTCTGCTAGAGACCCTCAGGAGTAGATTGTCACTGCCACAAGATTAATGACACTCATCTGTTTGCTTTAAAACCATATGCTTTCTAGAGATGAAATAGAGCCTGTGGATTTCTGTGTACTAAGATGTGTGATTTAATGCGGAGAACTTAAGTCACGTTAAATAAGAAATTTCAACTTCATTTCACAGAATAAAATGCAAGTTTGAGCTGTCTGAAAGAAACTTGCACTGACATATCAGTTCAAATATTAAAATTGTTTTGTGTCAAGATGCACACCTGGTTTTTAAAGGTACATTTAGAAAACCTACTTAAATGTGCTAATTTTACTAAAGCCTAATCCTGGTTTAATCTAAGCCCTGTCTGTGAAACCAGGCCTTCATATTCCAGATTGTAATTCTATTTAAAAAACTTGTTTACCACATGTTTCACAGATTGAGTGTCATGTTAATTCAGACTGGAAATAAGTTACTTGTGAAAACACTAGTCTAATGTCCGTCGCAGAATGAAATTGTCAATGCTACGTAACTAAACACTGATGGAAACAAGCACTAGAGCATGTTAATGTCCTCAGAGAATGTGTTCAGCCTTAATGATTAACCTCTGAGGTCAATGTGTCTCACTGCGTCTTAAAATGCCAGGGGCAGGTGCAAGACATTTCAAAAATGTGGGTGACATTAGACTTTAGTCCCTAGTCATCAGTTATAAGGCCTTATGCTGGATTGTGGATTGTAAAAAAAAAAAAAATGTAGGTACTTGCAACTGAAGCCAGAGGGCTTTATGCAAATGGATATATTAGTGACTCTGGTGCATTCAGTAAACTGAATAATGCATGAAATAAATGCAGTTTGGATGATTAGAATTCATACAGTAGGTTGTTCTCCAGAATATGAGCCTTTGCTATAATTAATGGACTAATGTGTTAAACCATCCATCACCTACAATTCTGTCCTGTTTGGTCAGGCATTTGTGCTTTGTCATTATTCTGTTAAAAGAAATTATGATTAATATGACTGAAAATGTGGGTTATCTTATAGCTGTAGGCATCAATCTTAGATCTTTTTGTAAATTACTTTTTGAACAAAACAAGATGATTGTAGATGATCAATCTACATGCACAATCTGCATAAAATAATTTCAGTGTTCTTTTTATGCTCATCATATTCCAGTCAACATTCATTGGCCTCTTACCATGGAGATATGGTTTCTCTTTATCATGCTTAAGCTCTAGATGCTAATGTGTATTTGCCCAATCCATGCTAATGGTTATAATATTGAGGTGCTTAACAAAATATAAATGAGGACAATTACGGGAAGTCAAATGTTCAGAGACTTTACCATATCTTTTGCCGTTTATTTTAGGTGTCACTATCAGTGTTTTAAACATGGCAGCAGATCTGGCTTTAGTCACTGTTCTTGTTCAGCTTCTTGTTGATTTGGTGGCAAGTGACAATATTGACTTCTACAATCTCATGCCTGCTGTAGAAGGTGAGTGTGTCTGTTCAAAAGTTTGGGATGAGTAAGATATTTTTTTTAAAGAAATTAACACTTTTATTTATTAAGGACACATTAAATATATCAACAGTAAATACATTTATAATATTTTGCTTTTCTATTCATCAAAGAACCCTGAAAAAAAAGTATCACAGTTTCCACAAAATTATTAAGCAGCACAACTGTTTTTAACATTGATAATATTAAGAAATGTTTCTTAAGCAGCAAATCAGCATATTAGAATGATTTCTGAAGGATCATGTGACACTGAAGACTGAAGTAATGATGCTGAAAATTCATCTTTGCCATCACAAGAATAAATTACATATTAAAATAGAAAATATGAAGATGAAGCTTAAATCAGTTATCTATTGTGATCAATATTTCACAATATTACTGTTTTACTGTATTTTTGGTCAAATAAATGCAGCCTTGGTGAGCATAAGAAATCTTACCGACCCCAAACATTAACCAGTGACCTGTTAAGCAATAATGTAATCATGTTTGTTGACATGAATGTTATCATATGATAAAGCATTACCATAACTGTGACTTTATAGCAATAACCCAGTGTTCATGTCTGTACAGCCACCCCGTTTCCCAAGAGTTTCAAGTGCTTCACCTGTGAACAGGCCTCAGACAACTACGGCTGTAACCGCTGGGCAGAAGATGTGTGGTGCCCTCAGAGTGAGTTTACAAAACACAAACCCAACGCTCTCAGACCTTGTCTCTAGATAAAGATTATTCCTGATATCCCGTTCCTTCATTTATAGATACCCAGTACTGTATGACAATACATCACTTCTACCATCATGGGAAGACAAAGTTTGTTACCAAAAGATGTGCAGTGCATGAAGAATGCCAGTTAGCCGGCTGTAGACGTCACAAAAATACACACCATGTGAGTATCCACTCTTCATTGTACTGAATACATGGCAACATAGTAGCCTACATACATACAGTAATCTCTTGTACAAAAATTGTATTCACTTGTGATTCTGTGTTGCAGGAGTGTGTATCTTGCTGTGAAGGGATGGTTTGTAACGTAGAGCTGCCGACCAATCACAGTAATGCAGTGTTTTCTCCGAGACAAACCCACAGCTCAGCAGCACCCACTTTCAGGGACTGGGATACTGTGATCCTGCTGATCCCGGCTCTCACTGGACTGTTACCGTTGTGATCCTCAGTCAGGAGAACTTGTTTGGTGATAAACAACACTACAAGTGAATGAAGCCTAGGAGACATCATCCACACTGGAATATTAATACAGTTAGATGTATGTTTTCATTAAGTTCACAGTAATATCATGCTGGAGAAAGCTATCTGTTGGCATTCCCATCCATCTCAACGGCAGGATGTTGCAGGACTCCCTGGAAGAACATGATTCGAAATCTGCCGTCTTTGCTCATGTGCTCACTGATGTTTTCATGATTGATCTGTGACTCATCAGCCTGGAGTGGCACCACAAGAAGAAGATGAGCACTAGTGACTATTTGGAGTCCATTTTTATGCTTTTTGACTCCCTTCAAAAACAGTTGGACATTGATAAATCTAATATAATATAATTAAATATTTGTGACTTATATGTTGCTCGTAAACAATTTTATTCTGTCAGAAAACACAAATGCATTTGAATGTCCATCAGTGGATGCATTTTGCAGCCATATGTTGTAGTTACAGCATCAACCAGTAGAGGTTAACTAACTGGAAAGTGCTAACCAGCACAACCTAACTCTTTAATGGATTCAGTGAGACAACAGCCAGTTGTCTCCGGGAGATCTGTCAATGGAGTACTAGTACGGCTTGTGACGACTGCTACGAATGATGTGCTAAATCGGACCGAAAAACAGACGGCTATAGCAAAGTAGCATTTAGCAGCTAAATTAAAGCAGTGGATTTCACTTATGCTGCCTCACTGGATTTGTATTGAGCAAATTGAGGCTCACACTGAGCATTGGATGTCTCTATGTGGGATGGTCCTGTGGCTCTGTTCCCAGATTCTGTCACACAGGCCAAGCACAGCAATGAGAGGACGCTGGATGTGTTGTTCTAGTTTTCTAAACAATGCGAATGTCTCTAAAAGAGATCCAGAGATTTTTGGATGTCAAAGCTTTGAGAACATGCACCTGCATCACATACAGGAAAAGCACTAATTAATTAACTATATTTTGGGTTATTCAGATTTGACTATTGCAAACTCTGTCATCATTTTTCTTAGCATTTTTTTTTGTCCCAAAAACCTTAAAGAAATAAAAATGTGACCTTATTTAACTAATGTCCATGCACCAATATTCCATGTTCACTTATTATGCTACTGACTTTTCTCGAAATGCATGTTATTGATCTTATTGTGAATGATTCATCCGTGCATGTTTCAATTTTACTTTTTAATCAAAATGTCATAACTCGATTTTCCAGTGAAATGTCAGGCTTCTCTCTGGTGACATATGCCGTAATTCTCCAATCATTTAGTCCACTTAAACCTTTTCTTACGATCGACTGCAAGCTCACATTCAGATCTCCCACCATTCAATCAACAACCATTAGATAGAACCAAGTCCTGCTGTAAATTTCTTTTTTTCGATAATCTGTTTCACTGTCACAATATGGAGGATAAATCTGTTGCGACTTCTGTTTATTTCATTTGGACTAAAAATGAGCTGAAATATCCATTAAAAATATTTATTTATATAAAGAAATTAATACAAACTAGAGCTAGAGACTTGTAACCAATTTTTTGTGTCTGTAAAACCTTACCGTGAGACCGTGTTGCTTTCCATGACGGTCAGTTATGATAAATAGTCTTGTTTACTTTCATTGGATTGATTGAGTGTGTAAACGGCTCCTCGTTTCTTTAATCTATAACATACCGCTGTGCTTTTTGTATGAGAGCAGCAGGGCTACGTTTTTAAGATTCTTTCAACGGTGATCTGAGAACAGTTCTGTCTTTTCACATGAGACGGCCCAGGTTTCAATTTAGAGGAGCGAGCTGAACCTCGAACAGTACAAAAGAGCAACTGCCTCCCCCCCACCCCCCAAAGAGCTCTGAGAACAATAAAAACATTCCCAAGAGGATCTCAGTGTGGGACACAAAGCCGTGGACCATTAATATCATTGCTGTCCGGAATAATGAGGGGTTTTCATTCTCCAAACCAAACATGACATATGGCTCTTCCTCTAAAATGGTTGCAGAGGAAATGGGATTTGGTTTCTGTGTAGCTGCTTCACTGACTTATGAAGTTAAAGTGTGTGAGTGTGTGTGTGTGTGTGTGTGTGTGTGTGTGTGTTCCTGCTCTGCTGACTGTCTCGCCGTGTGTGCTGTTTGCTCTGGCTGCTGGCTGTCTTTGTTCTGGTTTTATTAGGCGTAGAGTTGGAGTCTGTCACTTTCAGGCTTTGAAGAGTCATTGATCTCCCATTGAGAAAAACAGTATCAGTGCTGCTGCTCTCATCTGCACCGCCTGTGTCTTTAGTATTCAGAACTCAATCTGTGAAAACAAGGCGGCGCAGAGCTTATGGCTCTTATCCATCCAGATGCATTACTGTGAGCATGTTAGCCAACCGAAAGACTTCATGATTAAGTAAAAAATATAGTAGCATGCCATGCTTTATTATGTAATTGTTCAAATGTACACCCAAAAAGTTTTATTCGAATGAAAGTAAAAAATATTTTGAGTGATTAAGAAGTATTTAAAATGTTATAAAGGTCATTAAGCCAATAAGCACGTTTGGAACCTACTTTATGTTATCTCCTTGAAACAGATTTTCTTGCTTCCAAAACATTTTTAAATCATGCTGGAGAACATGATCATCCGGTTTTTAGAATACTATAAAAACAAATATATATATTAATAGATATAAAATTTCTAAAATTCTTACATTTCTAAATTTATTTTAAGGATTTATTTATTTCCTAAACTAATTTTTAATTATTATTTTCTAATTAATATAAATGTTCACTCAAATTTTTGGTGCTGATAATCTCTTTTATACAAAAAAAAATTAGACCATTGTATTTCCTATATTTTCCCTGCAATAAAATGTCACTAGATTTTAAAGGAAGACATTTAGAACTCATTGGAAAGTCCCCTCATACATTCTTATTAATCAAAAAGAAAATTGACGTGATTTGATTAATGAATTATTGGATTATCCAGTGATGCGTTTGGTCATAAGAGTGACTGTAAAATTTTACGTCATAAAAGTAGTACAAAATCAACATTCATTTACTGAATGGCATTTGATACGCTCAAACAATGAACAACCTTCATTCCTGCTCTTGTTTTTTATGGTGGCGCCACATAAATTTGTGTTATTGAAGTCTGGTGATTGATGATGTCTCCTCACAGGCATCTTCAATAATCGTGTTCTTAGTTAAGGAAGTCGACTCGTGATTGGCAGCAATACACATGATCTTGAGAAACGAAAATAAAAGCAATCAATAAAATCTTATCTTAAGATAAGAACATAGAGCTTTAATAATCATTATACTATTTTTTTTACTACAAAGTGTATTTGGCGTTGTATTTTCTGAAAAGGTTTGGCATAAATCTGGAAGTATAGCTCTGATATTGCAAGCATCCGGCCATTACCGCTTGGCAGCTGCTCTACGTCTTTAGTTGCTGAGAATGAAATTTAAAAAAAAGAAATGAAAATGCAATGAGAAAAGGCTTTCTCTACAGCAAGGACTCTTGACAAACCCGAAAGTTCCATTGAACGCAAATTCCCTCATTGGACAACCCTTCTGTGGTAATCTCAAAACAACACTGGCTGCATTTGATCATAGGACCTGTCCTGTAATCCGAATGAGTCAGCCGGCTGTATTGTCCTCTTGTGTATATGCTGTGTGACGGCCAGCGGAGCTTAACATTCCACTTCAGGGGCAGAGATCACTGCACTAATTGGCAGCCGACAGTGTTTCCAGAGAGATTTTGTTCTCCATGAGGATCTGACCTCTCAGAAACCTGGTTGAACCAGACCTCAGACAGCCCTATGTATACCCTCGGTGGCACTTAGTCATGGGAGGATAAAAATACCAATGGCCGAGAAGTTATTTTGATGGAATGCAGAGCAGTGGCCCTCATAGTTTATTGCTTGCAACCTTTTAAATGAACACTAAGAAAGACTGAGACTGAAGTAACAAACAATTGCTTTCTTCCAAAATTTAGGGAGCTGCTTGCAGAGGCGGCATTTTTGTTCATCAAGGCACATTCCTGATTTGAAGATTATTACAGAAGGTATAGGCAGCATCAATAAATTGTCTTTTAAAGTGTTGTCACATTTACCGATGTCTAGCCAATTTCAATAGGAATCCTAGCGATCTGAAGTTGGTCATGCAAGTTGACAGTGCTGACCAGCAGAAAGCTGTTTGGTTTGAAAGCGACTTCTGTGTGAGTGGTGCTACAATGCTGACGAAAGAGGACAGGTGTATCTTACTCTGTGATCTTTAAGCACATGTGAAGAGCAGTTTCTGTAAAGTCTGAAGACTTGCTGAGATCTAACACCCCCTGCATTGCCAACAAACCTTTCAACATGAAGAAAAAATAACTTAGGGCTGATGGAAAGTACATACTTGGCCCCTTCTGACCCTCTCTCACCAAACATTTAAAGACCAGGAATAGAATTTGAATGCAGATTGTTGCTGCGTGGCATAATGGAATTTTACCGTATTCAACAACTAATCTCAAATACATTTTTGAGGAGGGAAAAAGGACAATTTAAGCATTAATTTCAGCTAAAGCCTAAGAACCTAAAATTCAGCTAAATGCTTCATTGTCCCTCCCACATTCAATTTGTTAAAGACTTTTGGTTCTCCAAAATTCCAGAAATGAAACCTCATTGGTTCTCGTGGTCAAGCAAGCGTCCGTTATTTAATGTGCTCTATGTGCATTGATCAATGTTTATATATGAATAAAAGCCTAAATTAAATCTGTTCATCATATAAAGCATATATATTTCTCTTCAGAAGACTTGAATTAAACCACAAAATACATATGGATTACTTTAACAATCTGTTTATTTACTTTTTAAAGCTTGAAAAGGTTAATTGCAAAGACTTTCCATTGATGACCAAAAAGAGAGAATATTTAAAAATATCTTAATTTTTGTTTGCAGACAAATGAAAGTCTAGACTGGGATTACATGAGGCTGAGTAAATGACTGACATTACAATGTAATGTGACTTTTCATGACCCCAAAACAACAAAAATCACCTAAAGCAAATGTCAGATATGACTGTAGATGAAAGCAGAGGGGAAAGAAGTGGCATAAGATGTTAGAAGTAGGAATGCAGAATTGCTACCAGCATTTCATGGCTAAATCCTCTTTTACAGATGGGCATTTGTCTCATTCGGTAGAAATGATTGATGTGTTGAGGAAGGATGGTTGCTCCTTGAAGAGACCAGCGGGAATGATTGAAGCATGCCGGAGGCACTAATGCCTTCACCACCGTCCCAATAGTACACATCATCAAAGCCCATCCGTTCATTCAGTTTGAGATGATCATGTGCCTCTCGCATGCCAACCAACTCAACTAGACGTCTGGTGACAGGTAAGAGGACATACCAGGTGTGTTATTCCCCTCTGGAGGTAAATAGCATTAGCTATGATGAGTAATAGTAATGACTTGTCAGCTCTTCAATGTGTGAATGTCATGTTTTTTTTCTTGGAAAGCAGGAAGTAAATTTTAAAGTAGAATAAATCCTGAACTGGAATCATCTCCATCACAAATCTCAACACACATTCCATATATTGTTCCTACGAGAGCGTTCAGGGCTATAATGACTACCGGTGTTGGTTTGCAGCTGTACAGCCCGAGGCACAAATGACAATGGCTGTTTAATCTGTTTGTTACCTTCTCCAGTGTGTTTATAGCAGCTCTATTTTCAGACGAGCTTAAGGAATGTAGAAGTTCTAGAGCGGATCCTAGATTTATTTACAGTATGTGGTCTTTCTAAAGAGAGTATTAGCATAATACAGCTTCAAATCTTTTCCCTAGAGCAGGGCCTCACATAATACCACACATTCATTATGTTATACCGCTTAAAATTTTCCGCCTCGTTCATTTAAATTATATTTTTTGTCAATATATATACACTCACCGGCCACTTTATTAGGTACCCCATGCTAGTAACGGGTTGGACCCCCTTTTGCCTTCAGAACTGCCTCAATTCTTCGTGGCATAGATTCAACAAGGTGCTGGAAGCATTCCTCAGGGAGTTTGGTCCATATTGACATGATGGCATCACACAGTTGCCGCAGATTTGTCGGCTGCACATCCATGATGCGAATCTCCCGTTCCACCACATCCCAAAGATGCTCTATTGGGTTGAGATCTGGTGACTGTGGAGGCCATTTTAGTACAGTGAACTCATTGTCATGTTCAAGAAACCAATTTGAAATGATTAGAGCTTTGTGACATGGTGGAAGTAGCCATCAGAGGATGGGTACATGGTGGCCATAAAGGGATGGACATGGTCAGAAACAATGCTCAGGTAGGCCGTGGCATTTAAACGATGCCCAATTGGCACTAAGGGGCCTAAAGTGTGCCAGGAAAACATCCCCCACACCATTACACCACCACCACCAGCCTGCACAGTGGTAACAAGGCATGATGGTTCCATGTTCTCATTCTGTTTACGCCAAATTCTGACTCTAACATCTGAATGTCTCAACAGAAATCGAGACTCATCAGACCAGGCAACATTTTTCCAGTCTTCAACTGTTCAATTTTGGTTGAGATCATGCAAATTGTAGCCTCTTTTTCCTATTTGTAGTGGAGATGAGTGTTACCCGGTGGAGTCTTCTGCTGTTGTAGCCCATCCGCCTCAAGGTTGTGCGTGTTGTGGCTTCACAAATGCTTTGCTGCATACCTCGGTTGTAACGAGTGATTATTTCAGTCACTGTTGCCCTTCTATCAGCTCGAACCAGTCTGGCCATTCTCCTCTGACCTCTGGCATCAACAAGGCATTTCCGCCCACAGAACTGCTGCTCACTGGATGTTTTTTCTTTTTCGGACCATTCTCTGTAAACCCTAGAGATGGTTGTGCGTGAAAATCCCAGTAGATTAGCAGTTTCTGAAATACTCAGACCAGCCCTTCTGGCACCAACAATCATGCCACGTTCAAAGTCACTCAAATCAACTTTCTTCCCCATACTGATGCTCGGTTTGAACTGCAGGAGATTGTCTTGACCATGTCTACATGCCTAAATGCACTGAGTTGCCGCCATGTGATTGGCTGCTTAGAAATTAAGTGTTAACGAGCAGTTGGACAGGTGTACCTAATAAAGTGGCCGGTGAGTGTATATATGTGTGTGTGTTATGCCAAAAGTGTGCAAGTAAAATTGAGATCGAACTATTTGCCTTCCCTGTTTCTCCAGTGTCTTTGTGAACTCCTCTTTCTCTGCTATTCACTGTTCATTTCAACCTGTAGTCAAATAATCCTTATCTCGTGGCTCTGCATACCAGCGAGACGCTGCACCTCCATTACATGAAATCTGACCCTACAGGAGGAGGTTGTAATTATGGCTGAACTGCTGATTTTAGATTTAAACTTCAAGCGGAATCCAGTCATGCGCAAAATTTGTACATAGTGCTGATGCTCTTTTCTCCTAATGTCAGGCTGTTCCAGTGATATCTGACATGTGGACACTATCTCAGCCTCCCCTGTCAGAAAGCAAATTCATGTATGGAGATGTACATGTTCCTTCTGCCGAAGCAAAGTATACTAAGCAAACTTTGAACATCCATTACTATCTGTTTGAATTTGGGTCTGTCTATTTAGCCAGCTAACTAGATTTTTGTATTGTGTCCTATGGTACTTCCATTCAAAATGAGAGATGTATAGTGAGTAAACTACTGTATATGAAAACACTGTATTTACATGGCTGATCTCACCTCATGATCTACTCCTGGCATCAATCTCTCTGCACTTCCCTAAAACGGCAGAGGCTTCCCTCACTGCTGTCGAAATCCGCTCACTACAAATCAAACCCTCATCCTGTGCAAAGGTTCCTGGCTTTGAAGTTGATCTTTAGACACAGGCTTTTAAGTAGCTATATGAAGGATTTATTCACACTTTTATGTTAATGATTTTAGGGCCCCATAGATTTTCCAGAGGACGTCAGTTGTCTTCAAAACACCAAATCTTTAATTGCATAATCATCAATACTTTGCAGGCTACACACAGAAAAAGAGAGCCAATTGCTGACAAATCCTTTACCTATTTAATTTATTTATATTATTATTTATTTATATTATTTCAAATAACAATATTCAAAGTTATTTCAAATTGTAATTTCATTTATTATCAATTCTTGTATTGAGAAAATTGTCAACAGCTTGTCTTGCTGCATGCCACACATGTCACATTTCATCAGGCTCTCTGTCTTTGAGTTGGTAATTGTTGCCCTTGGGGAAACATTTTGGATTTTTGTGACATGAAGCATATTACAACCGATTCATGACATCAGTGAATATAATATTTGGAGGTTTAGCACACAATTAGTTAATAACAAGTTAAGCAAGGCATATTTACTGCGAGCATACTTGATATAGTGTGTGAGGTTGATGCTTTAATCAAAGTGATCACTGTGCACAAATTACAGAGACAGTCCTCTTGAAGCTACCTGCAGGGTTTAGGGCCTTGCTCAAAGGCACAACGGTGACGACAGGGGGGTCTGTGATGCTCCCTGGTTTACGGTTCAACCCCCCCACCCCCCACCTCCTCAGCCCCATAGAGTCCTCACAAAAAATGTTTACTTGCAGATTTACGTGACCTACTTGAACACCAAACACAAAGTCCTTCAGACCTGATCTGGTTGGTATATGCTACTGAAATTGTTAAGCAGGTAAAAAAAAGTGTTCCTCTTTTTACTTTGAATATACATCATAATGGGTGTAAATGTGAATTATCTGGTCATAGATCTGTTATCTTCTTAGGGTACTTTTGCTCTAAAAGGCTTTCTTGGTTTTTGTTTCTCCCACAACACTAAATAGCAACAAACCAACAAGTAATATATATTTTCGACTGTCACATATAGGCTACTTTAAGACCCACCAAAAAGTCCCTTGAAGGAAGGCTTTTAGCTCTTGTGATTAATCAAATTGTTTCAGGTAAGGTTACTAATTATATTTAGATATTTATATATACATATGAATGCTATTATAACCAATTATTAGTCTGTTTTGTCAAAAATTAAGCTATTTGGTTGTGGCTCACTGAGAGGAAGTGTTTGATTTGACATTTACTGTGTTTTAATCACCAGCAGAGGGCCCACTAAAAAGATTCTGTTTCAAAAGCTAGTGAACTGCCAATCTAGACAGCATTTTTGGCCATCAAAAATGCACACAGCGTTTTTAGCACCAGATGCGATTGAAGTCAATTCACGCGTCCATTATGCACAAAAAGACTTTTAAAACATAACTATCGATATCACGTTTTTCTGATAGATCAAATGTGGATGTACACTAAAGTAGCCTAAAATAAAAATATATTGATAGGCAGTGGACATGTGCTTATAACCAATCTGCAATACCAGATTTTTTTAGTCATGGCTTCAAGTAGCGTGTATAAAACTCAGTAGGCTACTGTGTGTGTGTGTGTGTGTGTGTGTGTGTGTGTGTGTGTGTGTGTGTGTGTGTGTGTGTGTGGATCCATCGGGATGCGCCTCCTCTCGACCTCTGATAGGCGCAGCCGAGCGTCTCATCCGCCTTTTAGGAACCTTTGAGTTCACAGAGATTCAGCTCGGACGTGTCATGAGTACAGACAACTGAAAGGACACTATTGATATACATGACTTTCTTCGAATCTTGCCATACAAGGATAATTCTGCCGTGATAAAAGTTTGACTACGGTCGTTTGAATCATTTTCGGTAAGTAGCCTAACCTTTTTATTTGACCTGCTGCGATTGGATTAATGACAGAGCACACCCAAATGACCTATTTTCATCCCTATAAGAGTGCTTTTTTACCTTTTTTGGTGTGAAATGCTTGTAATTTACTGTACCTCTCTGATCCAAACCACATTCGAAAGATAGTAAACATTAGTAAATAACAGCCGCAGACTGTTTGACAGCGTTGCGTCAAAACCAGAACGCTTGCATTATAATCAATTAGCTGAAACGCACTCACGAGATAAACGCTTCCAGTGGTTACAGTGAAGAAGATTTTGGCTACACAATGTTAGAAGAATGTAAAAAAGAAAAAGGGGGAGGCTATAGGCTACTTATTTATGAATTATACGACAAAATCATACGTTTTAAAATGTGTAATTTTACTGTAAAAATGTTTTAGAAGTAAAAATGCATGGATATTTAAAAGGCAATATGTTTTTATTTTCAAATATGCTTTTTATTAGTTAGTTTTAATTAGTTTATTATTTATGGGGGATGAGACATTCCCATGATTTCCTTCACATTTGTTTAGATTTTATTTAAGAAGTTAGTTTCTTCTTATTTATGTACATTATATTGTAGAGTTTATGTTGCGTTGTAGGTTATTTAGTTCAAGTTTATTGCATTATTGAAGTGTTGTATGATAGCCTGATGTTTTTGTCTTTGTGTGGGTAACCAACACTGCTATGTATTCATATTACTATTGACTACTGTTGCTGAAGAGGCATTTTGGTTAACTGTAAATTATCATGTGGCCTTTTATTATGTTAGCTTTCTGTGTTATTATCAGTACATTTTACATGGACAAACAGACTAGCTAAATATGTTTGTGTATTTACATTATATAGTTTAGTGAACAAATAGGAACTATAAATTATAGGCTACAGTCAGCAAAATACTATGGCATAATTCTTGTATCATCACTGTATTTTTTACAGTACAGTTCTGGCTTTTTATTATTTAAAGTTTTACTTTTTAAATAAATGTTTTTGACATGTAGTTTGTTGAATAATAGTGTAAATATGGTGTTAACTTATAGCCTAAACTATAAGGTGTGCAAAAGTAAGACAATGCCATTTTCAAATGTTAAACAAATGGCCGTCCTGTCAAACAGTTGCACATTTTTATTAATATTTTACACTATGCAATAAAACATACAAATTCATCTCTGTAAATTACACTGTGCATGTCTTAAACACAGTGCTGGCCAAATGAGCGAGTTATCTTCCATGCTCGTTAAATGTGTGTATTTTGACGTTCTGTCAAATGCTAGTGGCGACCTGTCATGCACTGCATTCATGAAAGGTCAGGAATTACCCTCCCTGCCCACTGTTCAGTGTCATGTATTTGTATTGTGTTATATGGAACTAATCAGGATTAAAGCACTTTTGCATCCACTAGTGTGAATATATGCACAGCAATGGATCTATTATATTTCATATTAAAATATGCAGCAGGTGCATGGATACAGCAGAGCATGTGCAGTGATTTTATGAATTTGATATGATCCCCTGCCTTGATGGAGCTTTGTGTGCTGCTTTGTGTTTGCCGTGCTTGTAGGAGTGGTTCATTCATGGTGTGTACAGATACATTGGTTATTTCCATTTGTTCTCTGGCGATCTTAATGTAGCTTTGTATTAGATATGCAATATGTAGGTCACTGCATTCCTTGATAGTATTATACCGTATGTAATGTAAAAAATGTTTGTTTAATGTTTTTTGGCTTACAGCCAATGATTAATGTTGACTGACTAGGCAAATCACGTCTTCTCATTCCAATGACCTTTTTAAGAAAATGTAGCCCAGACTGCTGTTTTTCTCTTTATAGGGAAGATGCTTCATCTCACTTAGCTGTAATGCACCTGCATTGTGGGGGAGAAGACAAATTACTCCATGCTTATTTCCACAGTCAGTTTTTTTTTTTTTTTTTTTTTTTAGTGCAAACGATTGTGTGAAACGCATTTTTATCTGTAGTCTGTGTAGAGTACAGACTCAACACAGGCAGCCAAGGACACAAGAGGAAGGCACAGTGCGAAATATTCTTAGCAGTGAAAGGAAATCCATTGGGTTACTTATGAGCCGAGCTTCCTTTGATATCAGATAGGAGAAAACATTTCCACTGAAGTGGAAAGCGCTTTCTCGGGAAAGCCCTGATGACATCACAACGACTGGGACCATTTCAGACAATGCAAAGTGAAAGAAAATAGACTCATACTGTCATTTTCTTCATATATATATATATATAAATATCATGGGAATGCTTTGTAGTAATATTCTGTACATTAGCATTTGTTGATGCATAGGTAACATGAACTAATAATCAACAATATTTATAGCATTTATTAATCTAGGTGTAAATGTTTATTTAATCACATTTATTATTGTTGTTCATACTACAACAACTACTTCTACTACTACTTCTAATTATTATTTATATTATTATGTATAATTTAATTATTTTTAATGTATCATTTATATAATCTATATCATTGATAGCTAATATTGATAGTTAATATTATATCGTAATGCTTGAAATAATATTAACATTTATAATTTAAATGTATAATAATACAGTAAAGAATAAATAGAGAATAAAGAAATAAATTGACTATTGCATAAAGTTAATGTAGATAACCTTAAAGTGTTCTCAATATTGTTTCAAATTCATAATAGTACATTTGTAAAGCAATTTTCAGTGTTAAATGAAAGTAAAGCCCATAGTCTCGTCCAGTCTGGGGCAAAGGAAATGCATTGTCTTCTGCAAACATGCATAGGAAGAATGGAATTATACAGTGATGTGTGTCTAAAGCCCATCTGTAGACTGTCTGATTTTGTGGTGGGGCTGCAGTCTTGGTTGAAGGGACACGGTCAGAACAATGAATTCAAGAAGAAAATGTTTGAGAGATGAAAGGGTCCTCACCAGCGTGAAAAATGCATTTGTCTTAGTTTTTTAAATCGTAGTACCCACGCACAAGATTTATCGTCCATTAGGTCTCTTGGGTTCACTTTATCTGAGTGGGGGCAGAAAGGCTTATATGTTATTTTCTCTACATCTAAGAGATTTGCATCATGAGCTTTTTGTGTAAAACAAAGGGGTAAATCTTAGTAAATGTGAGATACAGAATGTAGTTGTAGTAGAATTTGTTATAAAGTAGAATAGATGTTCAAACTTGATTTTATTTTCAGCAAAGAGCAAGAATTTGTTTATGATTAATTAAAAGTGCTACCTAATAAAAAATCACTTTGTGCAAGACTTTACAGAAACATTTACAGCGCCATAGTGACTGACCCAAGAGCAGCAAGAGCACTTATATAGAGTCATTGTTCGCTAAATAGTCATTATACTGAGTCATTGTTTGCAGTTTCGCAAAATACAATATTATTATTGTTATTTTACTTGCCCTTTTAATTTCCACTGTAACCTCACAATAATTTTTTTTTTTTTATTGTTGTTGTTTTGACATACAGTATCTGTATGAGTCAATATATAATTTATATATGTTTTAAAAATGCTTTATAATAAAATATTTCAAATGTATAATATAATTATATTATAAATAAATATTAAAAAAATGGAGCCCTTCTAATACCTCTGCTTTGTTTGTGTGGAGGAATCTGACATCCTTTTAGCATTTGATGGATTAGCTTCACCTGACAACGGGTTTGAGTGAATACTTACCCTTAAAGAAACTTGTGACAGGAAGGCCCGCATATTTACATATCCTCTGACCCCAAGAAACAGTTGAACACCTCTATGAGCACATGTTAGAGCTGGGGCAGGTGTTTCTCCAGATGGGCCAGCCAAGAAAAACCAAAAGGTGTTATTTAAGACCTTCTAATGACAAGGGCATGTAGGCATTTAGAGTTATATTATTGCTGACGTACAGTATGATGAGGGTCATTACCTGACGTTATGATGCTGGCTGAAGGAATGTCACGGGAACGTTAGATCTTGTCGCTCTTGTGTGTGTTTTGAATCTGTGCTACATGTAATGTGTTGTTTCTGGATTTATCTTTTTGTTTATTACCTTTAGAATAGTTAAAAACATGCTATATTATTGGCTTGCATTCAGTCTTGATGTTTTTTTCTTGAAATAACACTGTGGTTTACATGGAACATGCCACCTTTTTGCCATTGCGTGACCATCAGTGGTCTTATAAAGCATCGTAGTGGGGGAGGGGGTTCAGTGCTCCATGTGCTGATCAGACTCTCCATTACCCAGAGTGCCTTCTCAATGGGGACGGTGAGGCAGAAGACAGAGCGATGGCTTCATCTGACCCCTTTGTTTCCCCTCACCATGTCGAGGAACTTGACAAAGGCTGATGGTCTTTGGATAATGACACTTCTCATTGGACTGAGCACATAACAAACGCTGTGCATCGGAGCGTATGAGAGAATCCCTCAACGCTGTGCATTACTTATGCTCTTTTTGAATTATTTAGCAAAGTTTGTTTTGCGTTAACTGCATGAGTGACCAGGCAAAGATCACTGTCACTGGGTCAGTGCTAGTCCGCCTGAGGCGTCCAACGCTCTTAATGCGTCTGTTATTTTTGCACGTTACGCCCCATTATTCCATTATTTTCATTTTTTGGCACGTTACGCCCCATTATTTTCATTTTACTTTACAACATGATATACTATGTGTTTTTTTTTTATATGTACATGATTCATTATGGAGAGGATTTTGCTCAGTTAGGCCTGTGTAAATCTGTGTGAATGGTGTTAGGAAGCTTTTGGCAGATTCTGATGCTAATTAGCTGCTCTTGCACCCCATTTGAATGCTTTACTGAACAGATGTATCCGATTTGTCTTACGGGGGCCTTTTTGCACCCTGGAGTGAAACTGCTGAATCCTTTGTCAGTGTATAAAAATGTATGAGTCTGTTAATATACCTTGAACCAGAGGATTTGAAAGGTTTATTCACCTCAGTGTTCAGTATCAATGTAATAATATATATTATATCATAAAATTAAGCATT